AATTTTTCATCATATATCTCATACTTTGACCCAACACAACATACAGTGTTGATTTTCAGGTGCAAATTTTATTGTGGATCATAACAAAGGTTTCAGAATAAGCACAGGGAAAAAATCAACAATAGAGTGTCTCTCGTTTACAGAGTACATAAAATATATTCTGTGAAAGCTACTAACTCTGCAGCTGAAGGCAATGCAGCTTGATTTAAACTAACCATTATTTTCAGATGGACATGTTAAGAAACAAATTTTGCAAATATTCTTTTTTCTCAATTAGTTTGATATTGAAATTGAAAACCAAATATTTGAATGACACTAACATTGTTGCAGAGTGTGTAGTATTAAACTGTTAGACAGAAAATAAAATCTCGTTAATGCAAAAAGATATAGTCACATAGAAAATATTGTCAAAATACGTAAAATTAGCCCTAGTAAATGTTAAATGACTCAAAACCTCTTTGGAAAATCTGTGGATGCTGAGGTATGCATAATTCTGGAATTTTGGTGCTGCTATCTCCATTTTTCATGCAAAACATCAAAACAAAATATCTTACTTTAAACTAATTATAACTCTCTACAAAAGATTTCTTCAGCCTTTAATTGTACTTTTAACTGTAAAGAGAAAACCCACACTAATTCTTATAGTAAAATGAAAAAAGTCTATTAGTAACAGTGTAGAAAATCTTGCAAGAGGTCTTCAAGGCACTGTTCTCTCTTTGGGTGCTTGGCACACACACAGGCCATTCATGAAGGCTGTTTTGATAGGAAGACAAGAATAACAAAACCTAGACCTAAAGCTAGTATCTAGTATATTAAATATCATATATATCTTTCTCTAATTAAAAAAAACATTACTTTTAAAAGACATTCTGCTTTACAACACTGTGGCTTTGCAGTAATGTGTCTGCTAAATTAATCTGAAACATGAATTTAAAAACATATTTTAAGAAAATAAGTAAGAACAAAAGTCAACCAATATAGTCTGCCTGAATGTAAACCATTCCTGAGTACTGTAACCCTCTGTAAAACAGAAAGGACCAATGCTCTGTTGATCTAATGCCACTGGTTTATATGGAGATATGCCAATCAACAACTTGGTCCACAGTCAGTTGAAGTAGATTAGGACCTTATCCAGTGCTCACTGGTCCACTTGAATTCCTGAACTACATAGCTGCAAGGGCTGCTGCCCCCCTATAACAGGAAGATATCTACTGCCTAAGAAATGTAAATAACTAGACATTCTGCAGTCAGCTCATTTAATAAGAAATTTGGTGCATCTGTACTTCATTGGGAATATGGAGCAATCCAATTCTGGACTTTATGTGTGTGTATCAGGTAAAATTATGCAAAGATTCCTTTAATACCTTTTTTCTAAGGCCTATTCTTTAAGGCAACTAAATGCCAGTCAGCTGGCAAAAAAATCTGAAAGGAGTTGACCTCAAGATCTTAGGATTTTAGACAATCATTTTGACAACATCTTTTTGACATACTATTAAGAATCTGCAGCTCCTCTTTGAAAAAATAAGTTTTGTGTGGCTGACAGAGTACGTCAGCATCCATCAATAGGGAAAGGATGCCTACCTCCAACCGCAAAACAAATCTGGTTACCATATTGCTGGATGCAATGGATGGATTAGAAGTCAGAGAAGCACAGAAAACTCTGTTCTTTTGGCAGTTTTATAATGCCTCAGCAGCAGCAATGTTTACTGTCTGTTACTCAGGGTAGGCTAATAATCTGCCAGTTGTTGGTGGACTCAGCTACCTATAAGTCTTCATGTGGCAGAGCACAATAGACAAGCACACTGGTCTGGTAGATGAGATCCAAATACCACCATGAGATCTTAACATTCATAGCTGGCTTTAAAAACCTACCCCACTGCTGATACAGCATCCTCAAGAACAGAGGCTTCCTCCGGGACCAATAGAGAAACTGGCCTCTCCAGATGACTGTATCTTACATGGGCTAAATCCGTTGATTTGGATCTATTTAATCATTTAAGGTAATTATAAATAAAACCAGGACTGATGTAAAACTTAAAACAACTTCTACCTGAATATAGACAGTGAGGAAAATTCTGCATTCAGCTGTACATCAGTATACCCCGCTGTGTATCAAGAATAAAAGAATCACAGGTGTCAGCAGAATTTGGCCCAGCTTACAATATTTCACTTCCGTAAAGGAAGGTGCTGGCCTACACTGATGGCTGAAGAGCAAACTGTCTACAGTAGTATATGATATTTCTATAATATTCTGTATCAAAGCAATAAATATTAGATATAATCTGTATATTATATTTCATAGTTATCTGATAGCTATTTAAATCTACACTGTCAAAAATATAAGCAGTGACCCACTCCTACATGGCACCATATACTATTTGTGTGAATGTGTTAAAACTATCATATGGGTCTATATTTACATAAGACACTCTTGATTATATAGCACATTTTAATTTACATAAATTCTTACCATAGGATAGATAATTGTGTAAAGGTTGGATATTGTTTAAATGTTTCAATGGTTCTGCATAACTGCATTTCAGCATGAGGATTTCATTGTTCTGTCTCAGTTTTATGGATTTTAAGGATGGAAAATCGAGTCTGACAGACTTCAAAATTTCCAGTAATGTTATACCAATATAGCACAGGAATACTTATTTTCAAGTCCGGGCAAAAACCAGTTTCACTGTTCCTAACCTTTTTCCTTTATATATGTAAATCTCCTCTCTAAAGAAAGTGCACTCCTGAAAACAAGGGCAATCAAAATGTTTTGGCATTGTTGAGCTGTAAAAGGTATTTCAGCTGAGCATGATATGCAGAAAAACCATCATACATTTTTTAATTAACAATTACTATTACTACAATCTAGGTGTGCAAACGAAAAACTTACATGTGAAACATTAAAATAAGCTGAAATTGTTGCTGGTATATAGGTGAGAAGTTCTGCCTCAGTTTGCTCAAAAAAAGTTTTGTTAATTCCTATCATTTAGCTTCTCAGATATTAAAAATATAATGAAAACGTTCATTTTCACTGAGGTCATAAAGTCCGGTTATTTACCTGTGTAAAAGGCAAGTAATTGTTATTTTCTGCACCTCTAATTTCAGAAACTCGGTTAAAAATACAGAGATAAAAAAATACTTTAATAGAGATACTTAGAATGTTTATAACAATCAGATAACAATTCGAGTTCAGAATCCTTTGAATTAAATATTGACTTTCCTTTGCAAAAGTTGATATTTATTTCTCAGAATAATAATTTCTGTGGCCCCCTGGCAGAAGTCAGTATCACCTTGTTATTAAACATCAGTTAGTGTTCATCAAAGACAGAACGTAATTGCTTGTCTTTCCTTTATGCTAATGTTGCACTGGAAAACTCAATATTAATAATAAAAGCCCTGGAAAATTGAAAAATGTGTAATGCTTTATATACTAAGTAATACGTAGCTGTTATTGACTGTTCTTGCCAGCACTACATTTCTTGAGATAAACAGACTCAAGAGTTGACAGATTGCTTTCCCTTTCACCTATACCAGTTCTGCCATAATTGGATGACTATTAACAAGTCTCCTTCCTGCACTAAGCAGTCCAAAGATTTCTAAACAGTCGTCCAGTAATTTCTGCCTAAGGATTTTTTTCCTTACTGTGTAACCCAGGATCTCAAGAATCTGTGGTTTCATTGGAACACTTCTTTTAGAAAGGTATCTAATACTAACATCAAGACTTTTAGCAAATAATTTATTTACTCTTCATCTTATGCTAGTGCAGTTTTTGATGATTAACACTCGTGTCAGGCAGTCTCTGTCAGCTTTATGGAAACATAACTGGTGCTTGATATGAAGTCTAAGGGAAGAATCAACTCCCATTTCTCTTCTGTGTCTCTGTTAAAGCTAAAACCAAACAGGTAACAGCTTATACTTGGTTGTGATTAGAAAAAAGTACTCTTTATAGCCATGCAAAATGACCAAAGAACCTTACACCGTAACAGAGTCTTTGCAGATGGGAGCAGTTTTGACCTAAAAGCAGTGCTTTTGTATCTCAAAGGCTACAGGAATGTTTCTGGAAAATAAATCTTGTTTTTTTGTGTTGGACATAATGTAGCAAAATACATTCATCATAAAATCAACAGATTTAGACAGAGTCTAAATCCTATTTAGCAATAATTCTATACCTGCAACCTAGTAATCCTGTGTTTAAAACTACTAAAAGAAAAACAAGCTGTTGTTTTACTAATACTATATAATAATGCAAATATTATACGGAAACTGTATTATACAGGTGTTTTCTCCTGAAATGTGCACTTGGCAAAAAAGATCTCTTCCTTGCACAAAACCAAGTGACAAGCTGCGAAGTATGCCTATGTGGAATGCTCAATAACACATATTTAAAGCAGAGTATCACATTATAGTAAGTCTGAAGGAATGAGTAGCCACTTCAGTTTGTACCCATAAAATTCAAGCCTAACAGCACTGGAAATATAAATTAATTAGGTTAAGAGCTTGACAAAGTCTCTTCTTTTTAGCAGTGAACAAGAGTATTTAACTGTTTCTTCCCATGCACATTTCTCATAATTAGAATGCAACCATTTTATCATGGATAGAAAATCCTCAGATTAGAAAAGATATATGTAAAAAATATTAAAATAGATACTCAGTGGTGAATCTTCCTATGATTGGTTTCAAAGACTGATTTGAATTAAAGTTACTAAATCTTTTTTTCATTCTTGCTTCACCTAGTACAAAACAGTGTGAAGACAGTTGTTACTGAAACATGAATTCTCCCAGAATATACCCAAATACCTTACTCCAAACATTTTTCTTCATAATTTATATTAGTTTTAAATCTACTATGAAAATAGTAGTGCAAGAATAATCAATTAAAAATTCTTCAGATAAATGGTTTAGTGCCTTTTAGGATAAAGATGCAGAGGAATACCGATGAAAAATATGCTTAATGATGATGCTTGCTTTCGTAACACTCCTTTACATCCCAAATCAATTCTTCACTCCACATTCCTGTATGTAGTAAATAAATTGTACAGTACTCTCAGTGTAGACTTCAAGTCACAATTTACAATATCTAGAAAAAAAGACAAGGGAAAAAAACATTAGTAACTTCATTACCTCAAAACATTTTCGGAAAAAGTGCCTATTCTCTACTCCCTTTCCTTGCTCAGACCCATATCCACGGACATTCAAATCACAAAGATAGTAAGACAGAGTAGAAATAGAAATAATGCACAGTTTTTAAACTGGTAACTCAAAAATCATTATTTCAAGCACTTTTAGTTAGTGATACAAATGGCTAATGCTGCTGATGTAGAAATGCAACCAAAGTCTCATGATTTAACCCAGCAGGCAGCTAAAACAACCACATAGCCGTTCGCTCACTCCCCCCACAGTGGGATGGGGGAGAGAATTGAAAAGAAAAAAAAGGTAAAACTCGTGGGTTGAGATAAAGACAGTTTAATAGGACAGAAGAAAGACGAAGAAAATAAATAAATAAATAAACAAATGAATAATAATTGAATATACAAAAGAAGTAATGCATAGCACAGTTTCTCACTACCCAAAGCCCATGCTCAGCTAGTTCCTGAGCCATGCTGCCTCCTGGCCAAACCCCTAGTCATGACATCATACGGCATGGAATATCCCTTTGGCCAGTTTGGGTCAGCTGTCCTGGCTGTGTCCCCTCCCAGCTTCTTGCGCACTCCCCCCCTTCTCGTTGGCAGGGCAGTATGAGAAGCTGAAAAGTCCCTGACTGCTTGGCAACAACTAAAAACACCAGTGTGTTATCAACATTATTCTCATCCTAAATCCAAAACACAGCACTAACCAGCTCCTAGAAGTAAATTAACTCTATCCCAGATGAAATCAGCACACAAGGTTTAGATGTCCATGAAACAAATTGTGTCTAGGATTACATGTATTTGTATGACTGAATCTTCAGTCAGTTGTGACTGAAAAGTAATTATTTTGAAAAAATCATCAGGCAGGAACCAATGGAACTCTTCTTTTATGTAACAATTGCAGGACTTGAGCCATTCTGGGCTGCAACATCCTTTATTAGGCCTAATTTCAGCAAGATAGCCAGAGGCAAGTTTAAATTTTCTAAAGGATCTAAAGAAGCTAAGTATACAAGTGCCCCTCGAAGACACTTCTGAAAATGCTTTGGGTTAGCTGATGTACATGGCTGAATCAGTCCTTAGAAACTCAACATCTAAAGTAAAGGATTTATATGAAACAAAAAGCTAATGAATACCTGCTGTTTCCAAGAGAAGTTGTTGAGAAAGTCAATATTATTTCACAAGAAATCTATAAAACAAACTGACAAGTACTACTGCAGCAGTCTACACTAGTGCTTCAAGGAATATTCAATCTCAAATAGGGACTTAGAATTGCCCTCTGAAAGAACAGACTAGACTAGAATTATAATTGTCCTATCTCTTTCTGCTGACTGTATAGGAACTCAATCTCCTAACTTTGGTTCTTGGAATTGGCCACAAAGGTGTAAAGCAGATAGTGTGCATACTCCTATTATCTTCAAAATCTCCAAGTAAGCCTAGTAAATCATGTATGTAATCATCAGATAGTTTTGCTATTATATTTATCTATACTAATGTTTCTCATAGATTGTGAATGAGTTATACTTTGAAGAATGAATCCAATCAAACCTACGCATGGTTTCCCAAAGCATGCAAACTCTGAAGAGCTAAATATACTAGCTATATGGCAAACTGACATCCACAAAGGGTGAAAACACTCAAACCTAGATATTATGCTGAGCCTCCACGTGGTCATGAAACTATGGCCATATGGTTTTGTGGCTCTTAATAAATCAGATCAAAAATACTTGGTATAAAATGAAGAGAAAATGCCAAAAGCTACAGGAAGGGAACATTGCTCCCACAACATCATGTTATACTCTGCAATACTGTTTGCATATAACTTGGGAAGTTTCCTCTTTCAGGCCAGCAGCAAGCTGCGTAACACCTTCATTTCCTAATACAGAACTTCAAATGAATAAAAAGGTAACTTTGACAGGTCTTTGCAAAGTTATCAGAAGACTCCATCACCACAACAGAATTCCACAGAAAGGTCCAAACTAAAAAGTAGCATGCTCCCAGAGAAAGATGAGTTATTTCCATTGCTACATGTGTTTGACCAACATGCATAACATTTTACTGGTTGCAATTTTCAAAAAGAGAAACTTGAGTTTGGCTTTGATGTACACATTTCAAGAAGTAATCTGAAAAAGCTCAAACTGCAAATGAATTCGTTATAGACTCAGTAGATTAATGTTCCGGCCATTTTTAAAGTAAAAGGTCACGGAAAGCTTTTTAAACCTTTTCAATTATATTGCAAATAACCCAAATAAACTGTTGACCCCATAAAAATCATTGGTTTTCATACTCATTTATTTAACCACATTCTTTTTTCCACTAAATATGTTTTTCATATTCTAAAGCACTTTTCAGCATATTTTTTCCTCAAGAACCTCAAAGAAACAGTGTAGGAATTTAAAGAGTATTTAGTATACACATTTAGGGTAAGATCCTTTTCAATACTCTTTTGCTCACTGGAAATTTTAAGTACGGGCATTGTGCCCAATGTAACAACACATAAAACAGATGTGTTTTTCCATTCACATTGGGCAGGAAGTTTCATATTAAGCATTTCAATAATTGCACAAGAAATGTCTTATATATGCTGAAATATCCTTATGGCTTGATTTATACTGGAAAAATTAGCTGTCCCCTAGAGCAATAAATACCTGAAAAATTAAATGCCATAAGAATTTTAAACCTCCATGGGGAATAAGGGATCACAGATACTCTCTGTTTTACTTGGATCCCTAGATTTCACTATTTCCCCCTTCTCTCTTTGACTATTTCAAACATAAAAAGTTTGTGATACAGTCACCACTGGTTTAGTTAAGCATGATTGTGGATAAGAGTTCAAGCAATCAAAAGAAGTGAAAAATAGGCTGGGTAGGTCCAGATTAAACGTATAGGCAGCATAAGCTTGAGGCGTATTTTTTTGTGTGTGTGTATGTCTGCAGCTGTTATGATCTGGAAGTTGGGAGGGATGGAAAATAAGGAGAATGGAGCAGAACTTGATTCAGTGATGTGTGCACGAATCTCCAGAGAGCCCTTATTATTAGAAATAAAACTCTGAGCATTAGCTTATATGAACTCCTCAAGGAATGACAATCCAATATTATGGCAGGAAAAGACTGCACACCATAGAATGTGAATTTGCAATAGGTCTTGAAAACACATATATATATCAATTATTATGCTGGGTAACTAGCAGAAGCCCCACTACTACCCCTGTTGGGAAGAGTGGGGCAGAAGCTGCACATCCAGCTCCTGCATGGTAAGAAGCAGTAACTTCTCATGGGAGGAACCACAAGAGTACCCTATAACATGGTGAATCAAGGGCCCTATATTCAGCCTGAAAAGCTTAATTTAAACCCTGTATTTGTATGAGCAAAGAGGAGTGGAATCTTGGTCCTGCTAAAGTCAGCAGCAAAACCTTCATTTTCCCTGAAGACACATTTTACTTTCAGTTTCCAGCTCTAAATCTAATTTAAATATGCACGATTAGGGCCTGCATTCCAAGGCAGTTATGTGAACATTTGAAATTCTTCTTCCACAACATCCACTCCTTTTGTGAAAATCTTGTAAATTAAACTGGAATACTTGAGGTATAGTATGAAGATGTGGGATGGGGAAAAATGGAGCAATTGGAGCAATTCCCATCTGCCAGTGACACTATTTACAACTGTATTCGTCTTCTTTCAGTGAATATCTGAGTATTACTGCATATGCTTGGCCATGCGAATCTTACCTTGGTCATTCAAGAAAGGAAGCCTTGCAACATTTGAAAAAGGCTTATCTATCAGCCATTTAAAATACAAAGTTGCCTGAGCACTTCAAAACGTATCTTGCCTTTCGCTCTTGGATTAATGTTTTAATCTTCATTTAGCTATACCATAATCCTATGAGATAAGATCTGGATCCAACACAAATATTTAAGGTGATACAAAAAATGTAGAATAGATACCTTCTGGTCTTGGCTTTGGTTTTTCCAATCCACGATCTTGCATTAGCTCAAATGCAAAGGATACATTGACGACCTAGTAATATAATAAAGGTAGTCATTACTGTGAACTATATACAGTATAGTAGAAATGGTCAAAACAAGATGTATTTAAAGCTGCAGACCCAGATGCCTGGAAAGAAAAATTAGTCAGGGTTCCATATATCAATGGAAGACCTGGTCCATGGAATCCATTGTTTTGTTTTTTCTGGGTGGTGACGATGGTTTCAGAAATATAAAACTAATCAAAAAGTAATATGTGAACTAATATTACACATAGAACAATTACTTACAAGTAAGAGTAGCCCACCTTCCGCAAGTTTAAAAATTGGAACATGATAGACATGAATAGACAGCTGAATTGCCTGGATAGCAACAGACACTGGGATAACGGTTGGTCTTGAAACGATACATAGTACATATATGACTTTATGCTTCCAAAAAACATGAAACCTTTCAAATGTTAAATTCTTGGATTTTGGACACAAAATTCACGTGTACAATTCTTTATACACTTAATGAACAGTAAAGTCTGGTTCAATGACAGCATCACACAATGGCTGCCAAAACCAGTTAATACTTGCTAACCACCCCATCATTAACATAATTTTCCCTTTTATCCTGTGTAAGCATTAATATCAAGATCTTAAAAATGCTTGGAAATAGCTACCAGTACAGTCCTCTCTTGATTTCACCTATTTACATCAAGCTTATGCGGAAAAGTTTGTGTCATCCTTTTACTACTAGACATGTTTGTATGTTTATTTGTTTTTAACAGAAAAAAATAAATCTAATTACCTTTTGTTCAAAACTATCAGGGGTCAAGAAAAAGCTGTGTAGTGGAACAAAATAGCCTTCTAGAAGACCCATTAGCAGGACTAAGTATACACCATCTGCAAACTGTAAAAAACACATTTTTAGCACATTTTCTGAAGAATAACTCATTGCTTTGCTTAATGAACAAAATATATATTGTCTAATGCAGAAGTGTCAACAAACTCCTAATACAAATATTTTAAATTACAACTAAAAGATCTCATCTCACTACTTTGGTTCCTTTTATTTAGTTAGTATGTTCTGTTATGTCTTCTTCAAAACCAGCCTAATGCTGAAATATACATTCAGAATAAAGTTCCTGGAAAGAGAGGTGCTCAGTGGCTTTGATCTGTTCTTTGCTTTCTGTTCTACTAGTTGTGGGGAATCAGAGCCGCCACCTTTCAGGCTCTCAAATGGCATGCGTTCCCTGAGCAGAACGAGGGTGCAATCTCATGACTGCACTGAAATTCAGTATATTGGAGGAAATAAAGGAACAAAGAATCACTTTGGTCTGTGCTCTCCAAGTCTGAGTCAATCTAATTTTAAGTGTATGTAATTACAGATGGAAGATATCTAATTGCTATGATATACGTTCATTTCTATCTTAAAAAAATAGCAACATCCATAAGATTTTATTAAAGGCCTCTTACTTACCCCTGTGGCATCAGGTCTATCAGTGCACTGAGATATCCTCACAATCAAACTGAGTTATCTTAAGCAACCCCTCACCTTCCTGAAGTAGATAATTTTCTTTCAACTGACAGAAATACAATCTCTCACCTTAGGGAATACTGTTTTGGATAAATGCTTAAGGGGTTTCTAGGTACATTTAAATAATACATTTTTCCCAAAAGTAAACAATACAATAAGCAGGCATAGGGAACACTTTTCTGAAAGCCCTTACCCGCTATTTCCACCTAAATCTTAATTTTACCTTTGAAAAAAGCTCTATCAGATTGATAGCTATTTAAATAAATCAGAGATTCTTAATAACGTGAATCAAGACATAAAATAAAGTCTACCCTGAAGACATTTGGGGTTTTTTTTTGATAGTGTGAATACCATCCTTCCTGCCTGACCTTGTAATTTTCTTATAACTGCTGCAATTGTATACATGGGGAGGTATTAATACAGCAGGATTAAGCTTTTTAGCTTCTGTCCAGCCAATTTAGCAGCTGAGAACAAGAAAGACGACCATGTACCACATTATTTCTGTGGTGCAATCAAGCCTGCAGCCCAACTGTACAGCTGCCTAAACACTTGAGTAGCTTTACTCTCAAGAACGTATCTCACTGAATAGAGTCATTGTAATCCCATGCAATTGCGAGCTTGTGTAAAGGTAGGCAGGAAACAACTGTTCAGCTTGACGTTGGATCAAACCAAGCGGACGCAGTTCTTTCCTGACCAAAACAAGCACAGGTTCTGCTTACAGCACTTGGCAGAGTCCGAGAGGTAACATCTGTTAATTAATTTTTATGTTAATAGAAGTACAATACTGTTTTAGAGAAATTTAGCTGCCCTCACGATTTCTCTGCTTAATTGGTGAGGGTCTTCTTCATACCAACATATTTAGAATTGAAGGGTTTACTGCTGAAATAACATCTTAGAGCTCAATCAGTAATAATTCGATGAAATTTCTGGATAAAGTTGGGGGCATAGTGCAGAACATAGTGCGACTATCCCTCTCCTTTAAGAAAGGCTCTAAAATCCTACCTGGGTCTCCAGTTCAGTGACCTCCAAATTCAATTTATTCAGATGCTTGTTCACAAAGGTGATGAGAGTCTGAAATACGAAAACAATGTAGTGAAGACCTATTCAGTAGGGCAGCAGTTAAATGCATGCAGAATGAACCCCACTCAGAAGAGAATCTGCATGAGTGAAGAGACTGCAACACAATTCTTAAGTTTTAAAACTGAAATGTGACATAAAAACCCCCTTTTTTTGTCCCAACAATAAAGGACAGAAATAAAATGAACGTGATGTATATAAATAAAAACACACTGTTAAAACATAATAAATTGTTAAAAAAACCTTGTAGCAGACTATAGGGAAGTGAGTAATAGACTCCACTCAAATCTGACAGCGGCCAACAGACTCTAGATCAGACCCCTGGCAGTTGTAAACTGGATACCTCTTTGGCCTCAGTACACTCAGTCTAGCAGTTGGGTTCTACTCGACATACACTTGGTGAAAACTTCTTTTTGATGGAAACTTTGATAACTACATGTTGTTCTGTGTTCCAAAGTTAAGTTCATGCTGCTAAGTATTAATAAAAAGTAACATTATAGTAATGAATTTACGTATTTGTTTAAGGATAAGGCTTAATTGTATTTAATGTATGCAAACTATACTAATTATATATTACATACATACACGCTCGCTACATATGTATGAAGGGATACACACAAGCATGCACATGCACACGTTACACATTTTAAAAGTAAAAACCTTCCAACCTTTTTCACTACATTGAGCTTGTCTGGAGCATGGTCAAATAAAGTATCAAATGCATCTCTTTCTGGAAAACATTCACAGGCATTAATATACTAGCAGCAGTTGTCCAAATACAGAATAAACATGTATTAAGGCACATATTCATTTAAGACAACACAGTCAGCAAAAGGTTTCAATATAGTCTCTTTATATTCCAAGCACCACGTATTTTTGCATATTGCTCTCTTGCTATAAGCTGCTAGTAACTTATTGACTATTAGTTACAAAAAGCATAATTTTCAAGTAGGATCTGGATTATCTAATAACCCTGTTTCTCAAAACTGAACAAAGAATGGTATCTTTTATGCATAAAAACTTAAAACAGTCAGGTACTGGGAGATAAGTAACCAAATCATTTTGCGCAGAAGAACATGAGTTTACATCTAGAATCTCCACATCTACAGAGGAAGATTTTCCCCATGGGCCACTGACTGCATTGTGGCATTCTATAGTATTAACCACCTCAAGCAAACTTATGATTACACCGCTGCAATACAATCCTTTGTATAGATGTTTTTGGGCCATTCTGATACGCAATTTAGGACATTATCAGCATGACTGGAGTGCTACTGTAGCCATCTGCTGAAGAAAACAGGAAAAAAAAAAATATAAAAAGGCACCAGAGCCTTTTCTGAGCAATTTCCATTTTGACAGTCACCTGAATGACAGTGAATGAGTCCACAAAAAGCTACATTCACATTGCTCAAGAAAAAATGCTACAGTAGATCCAAAGGCATTTGGAGAAGGCCAAAGGAAGACTCCTCAGGGATATCACAGGGAAAAGATGTCATGCATGTAGCCTTTTAAATCAGCTGTGGGGCAGCTATTGAAATAATACAAGAAGCAAATGCTAAATTCTTGGTGGGATTCCACCTAAGCTCCTCAGATGAGTGTTTTCTGTTGGCCACGCATTTGGCCAGTCTCACTACTAGCAGTAAGACAAACTAGGCACATGAACTTGCATGGTGTTTAGGCCTGCTGCATAATCACCCAAAGTCATTAAAGTGTAAGTAGGTAATGTATGCAAGAATGCCAACAAGTTCGCCAGCTGGTTTATGATAAGACATCATCTTCTATTATGCTGGGAACTTATGACCATTAATACTATTACAGTAATGTTCTGGAGGTTAAACCACAAAGCACCTGCAAATTAACATGTGCTGAAAAGCAATGAAATGTGTTTTAAAGATGGGCAGACTGATTTTAATGTTTTTTTCCTTTTGTAAACTGCCACAATAGCCTGTGGTGCATATATTTATATATTTGCCAGGGCAACTTGAAATCCTCTACTTCCTTGCAGTTTGATCAAAGTGACCACCCATTGCAGAACTAATGTATACTTTGGCTGCATCAAGAAAAGGATAATCAAATGAACTTACCATGCCTTCCTGATAATGCCCTATAAAAAAAAAAAAAAAAAAAAGAACAAAACACAGTTATATATAATTCAGTTGCAGACACTGTGCTGCAAAAGAAAACAGCCTACATGGCCAGATTTTCAGTTTGGTGAAAACTGGAGTAGATCCACAAATTAAGAAAACCTTCATCAAGTTACTCCAACTGAGAATCTGTATTAGTCTGGAGTCCATCAGTATATCTCCTGGCTTCACTAAAGTCTCATGGGAGGCCAGATCTCAGATTTCCTACTGTTGAACCAAATCAACACAACTTGCCCAAGCAAAGAAGAGTTTTTCATGTTGATTTAGTGAAAAATTTCCCCTTTACTTTAAAGATGCATTTACCACACCAACTACAATACAATTCCAGCCAAAACAATGCTCAGACTAGGTTCTTAAGAACTGTAGCATTTTGCTCCAGTTGATCCCTCATATAACTATTACACATAAATAAATCCATAAAGATTGATAATAAGACAATAGCCTGGCTTCTCTACATTCTAGTAGAAACTAAGATATTCTATTATTGCTTTCTGTTGGTTTGAAATAACTTTTTTATTATAAATTGCTTGGTAAGATGACATGTAGAGGGCTTACTACCATCATTTTGCATCCCCAAAGTCCAAATGCCTGGAATAGTCATAACGCATTCCTTTTTGAAAGAATCTAGTTCTCTATCAAATAAATACCAACATAAGAGAACGAGGTGTATCTTTCTTCTTTGTTTGAAAGACTTTTGAATGAAACAATAAGAAATATAATAACTTAATAAAACAGAGATTTTGTATATCTTCACTCTGTCTTCTTTTTTACCCTGGTCTCCTGCTTTTAGTTCCCCAGCTCTGTATTTCCTCACCCTTTTGTATTTTTAGATGCATGTTTGTAACTCTCGAAAAGGCTAAAATACAATCACTGGCTGATGCATCATCTTCCCTGGAACCCCAATACCAAAATCTAAATATCAGCAAATGGTAGAATTTCTGAGATGCAGCTGTGTTCAATTACTGAACTGCTGGCAAAAGTGGTGTTGACATACTCAGTGTTACCAGTTATTTCCTCTTGGATTTGTCGAGACTGGAGGATTCCTTCTCGTTTCTGGAAAAAATTAAAAAAGTGACATTTTTGTCAGTAAAGTTCAATGCTTAGGGTACAGTAAAAATGTATTTGTGATCAACAAACATAATTAGATAAGAAATCTGCAAAACAAGAACTTTTTTTTAAACAAACTTAGAGTAATATTATTTCACCTTGCAAGTATTCCAGAAAACTCTTTTGTACATTAACAAGAAACTTGAAACTCCACCTGTAGAAGGAAGTATTTCTTTTCCTTTCTCCATTGTTCTTAATTCACTTTTCTTTTAAAGGCCCTAATTCAGCAAGACATTTGAAACACCTACACCCATATGTAAGTATTTTAGTAGAGGTATGTCTAGGTGAGTTGAATTAAACCTTGTATTTCAATGAACAGCTTGGCAGATGGTGCCCATGCTTCTCTTCTGCAAAAATCCTGCTCCCAGGCTAGCTGTTCTTTCTGCCCTATCCATACACTTTCTTTTTTGCCTCAGTATTCTCCTTTTCTCACTTCTCTCCACATAAAGAGCTCTATTTGCTTGTGATAGAAAACCAAAATGGAGGACAATCCAGACCCTAGTCATCTTGGTGTTAATACACACATTGACTCCAATGTTTTTCAGACGCAGGAAGCCCTTCATACATGGTGGTGAGTGGCCTGTGTCTAGAAGCTGTACACAAAATGGCAGAAGCCAACTCAAATGGTTGCTATTTGAGTCAGCTGGGAAATGAAGGCGTTTAAAAATTTGACATTGTTTCCAGGATGCTGATCACAGTCAGCTGGTGGTGGTGTAAATACCGCACATATGTTTTGCCTCTCTTTGTGTTCTGTTAATTCTATTCACTGAATTAGTAAAATTTTGCAATACAGAAAGTCAGGCAAATGCTGACGACTGCATGTAAAGTCTAGACATTAGGCAATTATTCATGATTCTTCACTCCCCGTCATACAAGGAAATGAGAAAAATAAATTTATGCTGGTCCTAGATTTGCCTTCTAAGTGGAAAAGAGAAAAGAGTAATAACCTTTTGGAGAAGTCCTTCATGGCACGTGAACTGGGGCTGCTGCTATTCCCTGCCTTGGCAAAACCAGCTCATCCCTACCTGAGGCAGTCCTCAGCGTATGATGTGCTGAGGATTTGGGCAGGCCCGAGTCTATTACTTCTGTACTGCATTACTGAAATGTATGAGGATCAAACTTACTTTCTGCAAGAAAGCCATACATGGCACCCTCTGGGTCACACCAGAGTGGCACTTGCAGTAATAGAAACTGTCCTTTTAGCTACATGATAGTTTCAGAGGTTTTCCACTATACTTTTTAAAGCCCCTTAAACTAAGTATCTTGCATGTGGTTAAAAGCATATTGAGAGAGGACCTATGAGCATTAAAAAGAGAGAGTGGAGTCCAGTGTGTTACATACTGGAACAAGGGGCACAGAACAGCTGCTGAGACATCTTCTGTCATGTATCTTGAAAGTCTGAAAAAAACCCTACATCATTTAGGGCTATTTTCATTTCCAGTTTGTGCACTTGAAGTTACTATCTAGTTCATGCTAACTCAAGTTAGAATTCCACTCTGGGATTTTTCTTTATTTTTCCCCTGGCTGCAGAGTGAAAGGAAACTTTTATTTCCTCCTGATGATGACTCTGACATGCCAATGATGTCTTCTGGAGCAAAAGTCCTATCACTCTTGGCTCCTAGAGGAGTTGAGCTTCGTAGCAATGGCAACTGTACTTCTCAGTGCCCAGTCTGGTGATATGGGACAAGAAAAAGACTTCTAATACCCTACCTTCCCTCTGCAAACATGCAAAAATAGCCTAAAAACATACTCCAGTACCAATATAAAACATATTTCCCTTTTTGATGAAGCACAATTAATGTCCATAGGAATCCTGCACATTAAACCTATTGTTGAACACACACACACACAAAAAAAGGCACCATCAAGTCCTAGTTTTTTGCCTGGCATCTGATAACTAACATTAATGGAATTTCCACACTGCCCAAATATGACATGCATCTGCTGGACACTTATTTGACCAGCACATGTCAAGATAAGACTTTCTTATGCTTTTGATTTGTAAAAACACTGGTGAAAAAGTCCCAACAGCAACAATCAGAATGGACCTTAGAAACACTAGTCTAAGCACCTTCTCTATGAAGGCTGCTTCCCATGCATCTTTTGCACTTTAAAAATTCTCCACCTCAAATTGACCCTAACACTGATGTCACCTGTTCGGAAGTTTGTTTTATACTAGACAAAGAATGACACAATATTCCTAAAAATACAAAGAAGTGCTACTGAGGACTGAAAGACTGACCAGCAATGTTCCTTAAAGACAACAGTGGCTATAACTGAAATAACAAATGATAAAAATGAATACCTACTATTTGAAAGTCACTGAGAAATGAGGCATGAATTAAGATTCCCCATTAAAAAGAAAAGCTGGGCACACATTCCAGTGACCACAGGTGACTTTATTTGGACACGCTTGGCATTTTCTTCCCTCATAGCTGAAAGACTGCACTAAAGGCCATGAAAGATCTTCCTAAATAACTTATAATTTTAAATTGGTGACTACCCTTAGAACAGAAAAATTGGGTAATATGTCTGGAAATGGAAAAGGTGTCTTCATCTCTCTCTTCACATCAGCTACATGTCAACAGTTTTATATAACTGAGGGTCAACTGCTTAATTTCCACACAAAGTCTCATTCTGAAAACCTTCCCACTATTTGAATGGGTTCTGCCTATGTATTGCTGCTACCCATTTCATCTGGAGGATCATGTTTTACAATTGCCCCACCAAGATGAAATTCACGAGCTTGAAAGAACAAAAAAATTTGTTGTAGGTTCAAAAAAAGACTTCTCGGGAACCTGGAGGCAATGCTGCTTGGAAACATTTCAGACCTTCCCAGGGTTTTCAGAGAGGCAGAGACACCAACGATCTCAGATTAAGCTTGTGATGTACACCTTCTTCTAATCTCATTAATTTCCTGTCTTTGCTTAACAGTAGTTTATGCACCCAAGAATTGCTGTCCCATTGCTCAGAATATGCTGCAGCCATTCTGGCTGCTCTGCCAATGCATTTTTACACTCTCTGACTTACAGCTCTTGCACACAAAAAAAATCTGTCATTTAACCATTTGTGAATGGCATAAATAAATAATTTTTAAAAAGAGGCAAAATGATGGCAAGATCCAGCTCTCCACAAAAGTTCTCACTTGTTTCAGTAGAAATGATGAAACAAAGCCTGGACTTTGTTCAAAGTTATTCATTATATTAGTATGGAAGGAAAAGAAAATAATATAACAAAATAGCTACAAAAGGTCCAACTATCACATTTTTTCCCAAATCAGCTTATAACCCAGATTTCATACTACTCTTATTGCTAACAGCTTTTGTACATAACAGCCAAAGGAAACAAGTTTTTGTAAGAACTGTGCTGATTACCTGTTGGGCATGAGCACATTTTTTGTTTCAGAACTATCTTTGTTTCTATTTCAATAAACTACACGCAGCCAACATGGCAACCCTTGCATTTTATGTGTTTCTAAGCCTAACAAAATCACAAAATTAATTAGGACAGTCTTCCCTAAAGACTTCATGAAAGTACTTTGTTCTTTTCTTTCTCTCTCCCTCCTATTCCCCTTATCAAACTGTATAGAGTAGAATTTAAAACCAGCTACTACGCAGTCTGTTGAGTTTCCCTACGCATGACCTTACTTTACAGAACGTATGAGGGTTTAGAACATGAGGCGTGCAAGTTTGAACACTTAAATTAGATTCCAGGATCTGCTGATTGTTGATTAAAACTTTCATTGAGTTCAAAGGGTACATGATGAATTATATAGAACCAATCCCACAGGACATGAAAGGCAGATTTAAAAAATAAAAATAAAAATCCCACCCACCATAAAATAAAAATGAAAAATGTCTCAAAGACAATTACAGTAAGAATACTGGCCCCCACCCTATGTTAATAGGAATCAGCATAGCCTTGGAGTTCCATTGATTGGCTTTCACCGAGAACTGCGTCTGCAGGGCGAAACCTTCTGCAACATTACTTGGATTTTATTCTAGTGCAACTGCTTTCTCTACAATTCACTGGCGCCTGAGCTACAGCTGTGTAGCTAAGAGGCAAAGCAGTGAGCCAGATTCTCCCACTACTTATTGTTTTTAAATTGGTTTATCTCTACTGACTTCAGTGGATTTGCTGTTGAACTGCATTAGCCTATTAAACAACAGGACAAGTACATCCATTGATTTCAACAGGAATTTTGTCTGGACATATGAGGCAACAGCAGAATGCAAGATCTGGTTCTTTATTTTAAGACTGTGTTCTTTTTCTGGTTTAGTTTCTCATCTCGAAGATACCCTGACCACTGCACTCCTGATTTCTTAGGCTAGTTTTGGTAGAACTTTGAGATAAACTAGTGTAATTAATATAACAGTCAAAGGGAAGTGCTTGAAAGTAATGTTTCTCCGAAGCCTTAGACACATAAGTGCAGATTTGCTGGGGTTCTCTTTCATTGTCTATAAAGAAACCTTCAAAGCAGAATCTGAGACTCAATGAGTCATTATCAGGCGTCAATGATACATCTACCAGAGACTCTCCCTCAGATTTCTCCCCAAATTACAAAACTTGTCTGATTTGAATGCTGGAAAAAGGAGTGGTTACCTTCTCAGATCTGTCCCACAGATTTTCAGTCACACAAAACCTGAGCAACAGCTCTCTGCACGAGAGACTTCAGGGTAACATCAGTTAAAACACATAAAGACAGTTACAGTGTGAAAAATAAAGGCAAAGTTAATTGGAGAGAAAGAAAAGCAGACTAAATGGGAAGAGGCCAAATAAGATAGAGCAAGCACAAGTCCAAGTGAAAGAAAAACGATGAACAGAGTAACATGAAGAGTTTGGATGGATGAGGCTCTACTAAGGAGACTGACTGACACAAAATATTCAGTTGACGGGGTTTTTTTGCATGCTTATGAGAAAGCCAATACTGTAATCAGACTAAATTAGCATGCACAAGGCTGAAAAAGAATATTTAGTCACCTAACATGAATCTGAATGTAATAAACAGTGACAATTCATCATTCAGCGCCAAGAATGATTTGAATCTCTACACAAGTGAGAAGACTGTCAAAAATGGGAAAAGTAATAATTCTAGAGATCATATTGGGTGATAAACAAACATATTCCAACAATAATAATGCTTCATATATTTTTAATGTCAGAGTCTGGCCACTTCACAAACAAAATAAGATATTCTGAGCCACAGCTCAATCTGGGAAAGCACTTCTGCCTTTTTCTGGTTGAAGCATTGTCAGCGGGGTAGATGCACGTGTGTTTCTTGTCAGCCAAAGAGACACACGCATGCCTGCCCAAACAGAAACTCTAGATGTGTTTTTCAAGAAACCACTCAGTCCATTTCACAACACTACCAAGAGCTGTTTAACACCTCTCTTACCTGCACAACAACCACCTGAATGGACACATGATCTGGGAGTCTGATTGGTGCTCGAAAATACTGTGATAATGCAACCAGAAGATGAAGTATTGCTACGAGACTTTTAGCATGAACAGCTGAAATAGATATTAAAAGCACAAGTTACAAACTGCAAAGTAACTAGGGCACATATTTTTACTTTTTAGGATGTAGGGATTGTGGGACTCTCTTCCTCTTGCTGCCTGAAGCCAGGGGACACTTTCAAGGCACCTCTCCTTTACTAGTCTTCTCCTGCTTAACAGGTTATGAGAATGCAGCCCAGTCAGTAACATAGGTCAGCACCAAAGCATTACTTTTTGCAACATGTCTGGATGCCATACGCTTGTGTAGATGGAAATCTAAAGCTAATCCGAAAGCCAGATTTCATGTACAGCAGTTTAAGTGCTGTCTCTGCATTCGCCTTTCCTTTCCTTTATTCCCTTTATTTCACTAAGGATTTATAGACTATCAGAAAGATATTTTTGTACTCATAACATGCACTTATTCATTTTTAAGTGTCACAATGTCTGCAGGATGATAAACGAGCCTATTTTGGCAGAAGCCTTAAGCAATAACTTACTAAACTCAATGACTCAAACATTCCTCATGAAGTTGTTACAGTTCTTGTTATTGAAGCTTTTTCACAGCAGGTTTCATTGGGTAGTTAACACTAACACGACTTACAAGATATCAAAAGCCATACTGTAGGAAATCCTTAATCAAGTATCAAACCATCTGTATGAAAGCGAATAATTTCTAGTTCTTATTTTGCCTTTCTTCTTCTATTTTGTTTTTGCATTTATAGTCTTCCCCAGAGCAGTATTTCTAAATGATCTTTGATAGCTACAGTACAGTGCACTTATGTTTTGTTGTACCTGAACTAACCAATAACTACTACCTTACTGCATTGGTAAAGCAGGATCAGATTCACTAAAATATCCTTCTTCATTATCTCCCAACGCAAGTCTCAACTATGCCATGGAGATGCCCATTCACATACAACGTGGTATTGCTGTCAAATTTTGCTGGGGTGCCAGTGGTCATGGATGAGGTGCTTTAGCAGAACACTAAAAAGATGTCTGTCTGCCTAGCACCAGTGTGCGCTACAGCTGGCTCCAGCTGCTGCTATCTATCTCTACTTTAGCTCTAAAACACATGTGAAACATTAAATTTAAACTAGAAGTTAAATTGTAAGGCCACTCCAAACACCCTGCCTCCAGCTGCATAGCAGAGAATGGAAAAAACCTGGGGGGAAGTTGAAAAGAGATGGGGACAGAAAGCTCAGTGGGACCACACGAAGGGGAAAGTCAGAGATGCCTAATGTTCACTCTTCCTCCCTCGAACTACTACTGTCCCTCTCACTAAGTTGTTGTGAATGGAACAGGATACAAAACAGCTCAACTCAAGATAGGTATAGGAGACAGGGAAACTGCTATATACTGGTCAAGGTATTCACGAGCGTGAAATAGTTGTGGATACCAAACTTAAAAGACATTGAGAGGCCAAATTTTCTAATATTGCTGATACCCTGCTTTCTGCAAGCTCACTACCCTGGACTTCAGCAGAG